TGAGCCCTGTCTCTCTCTTTTCTCTCTCAGTCCATGTGGCAAGCTATTAGAAACAATAGAGGGTGGCAAGACCACATGTTTTTAATGGTTTACCAAGTAACCCAATATGTATATCAAGATTTGTTATAGATCTAACAATAGAGAAATGTGGTCCTATGACACTCCCAGGTGTCATGGACTCATATAATCATCACTCGATATTAATATATTATATATTGTAATTGATAAAAAAATGATAATAATATTACTATTAATATTATTAATATTAATATTAGTGTTGTTATTATTATTTTCCACAAATACACTTTTAAAATTGAATTAAAAATACAATGAATATCATATACTATGATATATGTAATAATTATGAGAACAATTGGAAATATTTACCTTATGATGGATTATTCAACTTCAAAAAAAAAAAAAACAGTTGAAAGTAGTGAGAAAAGAGATGGGGACCTATGGCCTCATTGAGGGTATGGCCCTTGATAGAGCAGAATGGTGGACTAGGATTCATGTTGCCAACCCTAAATAGTTTGGAAACGGCTCTGATGATGATGATTATAGTATTAAAAATAATTTATGTAATAGTATGAAAACTAAAATACTATTAATGTTATCATAATAAGTCATAATAATAAAAACATTGTTATTTTTATTATTATATGATATATAATGTTTTTTTTTTTAACGTGTATTTTATATTATACAATGTTTCTTTTTTGACAAGGTTGCATAGAAATGGATCTTGAAGCGTAGCGCAACGAAAACCCAGCTGCTACCGTCTTAACCCAAGCCCAATTCCTTATATTATACAATGTTAGTATTGCTAAGAACAAAATATCAATATTGTTCTTTTTATAAATAGTAATAACATATATTAATAATAAATATTATAAAAATACAATAATCAGGATCGTTATTATTGTCGTTGTTGTTGTTGTTGTTTTTGTTTGTTTTGGACTAGTATGATAATTGTTTATTAGATTATTTTAAATTATAAATATTTGAACTCTTTTTATATTACAAATTACCTAAATAAGGGCTTTGCATAACTTGAGATCCATTCACAAGCTATCCAAACAACTGTCTTAATAACCAGCTTTGGCAAAACTAGGTTTTAGCCTATCAGGTTACAATTCAAAATCTGGGTTTTTATACGAAGGATCCAAATGACCCATTTGTTTCTATCTGTGTGATGCTCTGACATGATTCTTTGAAGGAAGTTCTAATTCATCATCATCATTTTAGCCTTTTCTTAATTAATTGGGGTCAGCTACATAAATATTAGTTCTCCATGTTGCTCTATTAAAGGCCTAATCCTCAGTGAGGTCATAAGTCTTCATATCCTTTTTGTTTTTTTGAAGTTGTTATAAGTCCCCATATCTTTTCGGACTACTTCCAACCATGTCATTTTGGGCCCACCCATTGCCCTTTTGAATCCTTTCACTTGAGCTAACTTGCACCTCCTAACAGGTGTTGTACTTGGTCAGCGCCACACATGGCCAGCCCACCTAAATCTCTTCTCTCTCATTTTATCGCCTATCGGTGCCACACCTGAATTCTCTCGAATAGATTCATTTCAAATTCTATCCCTTCTTGTCTTGCCATTCATCCATCTCAACATCCTCATTTGTGCCATACCTGAATTCTCTCAAATAGATTCATTTTAAATTCTATCCCTTCCTGTCTTGCTACTCATCCATCTCAACATCCTCATCTCCACTACACTCATTTTATGGGTATATTGTTTTTTGTCTGCCCAATATTCCGCCATATAGAGCAATGCTGGTCTCACCGTTGTCCTATAGAACTTGCCTTTCAGCCTCATTTCTATGCAGTGATTACATAAAATTCCAGTTATACATCTCCACTTCTCCCACCCAACTCTAATTCTGTGTGCGACATCTTCCTCGATCTTTCTATTTTCCTAGATTATTGATCCAAGATATGGAAAGTGTGGTCTACTTCCTGGCCATCAATCTTGACTACTTCTGCGTCTCTACTCCCAGTATTACTAAAGTTGCACTCCATATACTTTGTCTTAGTCCGACTAATTTTCAAACATTTGAATTCTAGAGCATTAGTTTTAATTTTATAATTGACAAGAAAATTAGTCGTGATTCTTGACGTCATGATTTGGGTGGAAAGCAACATACTAGCTTTCTTTGGTTGCAGAATGCATGGGAGAACTAGAAGCTTTTTGTTTTTAAATAATCTTTCAATCATTCAAGCAAGGATTTCTGAACTGAAATTATTTACTCTATTTATCATGAAAATCTTAGAGGTTTGGGCTTAGCTTTTTACCGTCTTGGCCTACGAATATATATGCCTGAGTAGATGTAGAAACTCTTTTTGCATAGATTATTACCAGATTATTGGTATTTGTTACGTTTAGATATTATCTGAAGCACTCGGTGCTATGATTAAAGAATATAGATACAAGGGCACAGATATGGGAAGACCCACTTTTTCCACTTTTCCTAGAATCTAGGACACTGGTGTGGGTTCATATCTGACAGGTTAAGACCATAGGATAAGACACTAATAATAAATCTGGGAAACCAATTATATTTAGGATATAACGTAGAAAAGCATTAAGAACGACCATATGTGAAAAGCTTAAGTTATGGAATGTGTAACTATGGAAAGAAGTGGGAGTTTCAATATTCTAGCTTCAGTGCAAAATTTTAAAGCTACAAAATGGAAAAGAATTGATACGCTAATAGGTACTGAATTAAATATACGCATAACACAGTATTAATTCTACATGAAAATTTGATCTGGCTAATTAGCAAGAAGCACAAATATTAGGGGCTCATCATCCTTAAAAATTATTGTAGCATTATTTCACACATCATCCTTAATATTATATAGGACGATGTAAAGTAGTCAAATTCTTAATGAACTTCAAAGTAATAATCAGGATGCAGCTGAACCATGTCCCCACTGTATTCATAAGGTACCTTGTACTAGTATCGGTATCGGACCGTATCAACACGGGTACCTTGGGAAGTTATCTGTGCATCATAGACTCAATGGTATGATACTAGAGGACCCTTGGGAAATTACCACTACTGCTTGTGATTGTGCATGCCTATAATTCAAAATCTGTGTAGTGCCCTGCTATTCTGTTTGTGAATGTGGTTACACTTGCGCATAGCATCCATGATTAATTCTTTTGCTCCTGGTCAAAAAGAAATTCTTTGATTGCTACGAATGGTTAATGTTTAGTTGAAAGTGATTCTTTGATTTCTTTCGACATGGGTTTTTTAAGCATTTGGGATACATGTGCACAATAGCTCCTTTCCTATATAACATTCTTTTTTGTTGTGCTTAACTTTTGCAGGACAGAAGCAAATGGTTCAGGCAAATTGTGAGTAGCATCTTGCATCAATCTCTTTTGATTCCCTTTGTATATGTTGCTTGGGACATTTCACAAGAAAGATGTAACATCAATGATATATTGCATGATGCAACAGAGTGACTAATGTAGCCAAGTTTTGAATGAGCCAATCCATATATATTGTACTGGTTCATACAAATATTTGCAAATTATCTATGTCTGCCCGAGCCCAAATCACCTACATCTTTTCCTTTATTTGCCTTACTGATTTTTACCATGCTCTCTCTCTCTCTCTCTC